CAGAGGTTAGCATCTGAATCAAAAGGTGGAAGGAGACTACTCGGCCCCTCGGCAGTCAAGATCCTTCTAGGACAAGTTTTGGACCCACAGAGGATGTGCACCATGTATAACATGCGATATGAAGCAGAGCAAGACTAAAATTACAAAGAATTGCAACTTCCGCATCCACCATAAACAGCTCGGGGTCTACAACAATGATTAACTACAATGCACTATAACTCCATCACAATACTGCCAGCATGTGCTGTAAATAAAATGAATATTCCAAGACATCAAAGTGATTGTACAGCAAGTCCAGCGTCGTCACAGATCAGGGTGTACAGAGGGGTACAAGGCTGGACTATGTGTGAGGTATCACAGTCATAAATGAGCTAAGCAATTAGCGCAGGAACCCCAAAGTTCCCCAATCTGGCCACAGGTAGTAATCCAAAATAAAACACACATTCATGCTGCCACTACCCACAATTTATAGTCTGCTGAGACAAAATATTGCTTATATAGTTAGTACAAACTCACACCCACTCAGTCTCTTACCACCATAAAAGGTGGCCATACACTTTACAACCATCGCAAGACCTTAGTCTTGCGATGGTTGTAAAGTAATTTAAAAAACGTACGATCTGCCCATCTTGGACAGGCAGATCGTACTCTCGATCATCGCAAGCCCGCCCCCGAGGGGCGGGCTTCCGATGACCGCAATGCTGAATGGGCAGTGTGCGCACACCGGACCATTCAGCATTTGTCTCCCGAGCATCATTCAAACCAGCCGAAAATCGTACGATTTTCAGCTGGTTTTCTAGCGTGCTCCTTAGACAAAAGACGTGCGACCGTGCAGTAGAAACGGTCGCACGTCTTCGTTCACACTGCTCGATTCTCGAACGATCGCGGGATTTCCCGCAATTCTCGTACGAGAAATCGAGCAGTGTATGGGCACCTTTAGAGGGAGACTCACCCAAAATCTAGCTGGTTGGATACCGGCAGATGCAAATCTGGCATACAACCTGGTGCGCTAAATCAGTTGTTTGGCAGATAAATGATTCCAGGACATCTCCATAATTCCGCAAGCTATCCTATGAGCCGGAATCCTGAGCAAAAAAAGTATTCCTTCTGCTCCTGGGATTGCACACAAAATACAGACCGTTACCCCCATAGTGAGGGAAAACGCTTTGTGGGCCCGACTGCAGATTTCCATTTTGGTGCCTTATGCTGGCCATACACCTATAGATTATCTGCAGACTTTCTATGGTCAGATGGAAAAAGTGCAACAGATTCCTCCATCTACGCTAAACTGTGTGGATGGAGGGATCTCCCACCGGGCCAAGCTTCAGTATCTTGCAAGGCGGCCGCGCTGGCTCTCAAAACACCTGAACAATGCCGGCATTCAATCAGATTGTTCAGGTATTTTGAAAGTTAGAGGGGCAGACCAGCAAAATACTGAAGCTTGGCCCAGCGCGAGATTCCTCCATCCACACTGTGCCGCCCCAATGGGGCATAAAAGTTTTATATAGATGAGAATTTATATAGATTGTTTTGTCCATATCATTTTCCTATGGACGTTTGTATAGTTAGTTATATGCTGCCATCTAGTGGCCTTTTGTTGTAATGTACATGTTTTTCTGTAATTATTCCTCATGTGACAATGTATTTCCCCCTAGTGTACGCCCCTTCCTTCTTCCTGTGTGCAGTACTTCCTGTGTCATGGCCACAGTTAAAAGCCACATGTAACAAGGACACACATGTAATCTGCACAGTACGTAGGAAAGGCATCATTTTCTGACCGCACAATACTATAACCGTTCAACTGCTGTTCCTATCATCTGCTGTAACCCTGATGTTAAAGAATAAACACCTCTTTTGAATGAATCGGTATTGACGAGTTCAGCTATCTGACGAGGATTGTCCGCAGTGAGTTTATCTGCTTATACAGGCCAGGCATAGAGGTCTCAGCAAGGGATATATCTCGCTATCACAACGATCGGAGTCAGAATACACACAGTTAAGTGTAGATGGAGGAATCTGTTGCACCTTTTCCATCTGACCATAGAAAATCTTCAGATAATCTATAGGAGTATGGCCAGCTTAAAAAAGGTGCCCATACACTGCACGATTCTCGTACGAGAATCGCGGGAAATCCCGCGATCGTACGAGAATCGTGCAGTGTGAATGAAGACGTGCGACCGTTTCTACTGTACGGTCGCACGTCTTTTGTCTAAGGAGCATGCTAGAAAACCAGCCGAAAATCTTACGATTTTCGGCTGGTTTGAATGATGCTCGGGAGACAAATGCCAAACGGGCCGGTGTGTTCAGCATTGCGGTCATCGGAAGCCCGCCCCTCAAGGGGGGCGGGCGGGCTTGCGATGATCGCAAGTACGATCTGCCTGTCCAAGATGGGCAGATCGTACGTTTTTTAAAATTACTTTACAACCATCGCAAGACTAAAAGGTCTTGCGATGGTTGTAAAGTGTATGGCCACCTTAAGGCAAGGCCTGGAGTTCAGATACAAGACTGAAGAGAAGGAAAATCTATTAGGTGTATGGACAGCTTTAGAGATCAAAATGAGCCGCAACCCATTCAGACTATCCTAGTGAATGGAAGGGGGCAGGCTGCAGCATATTACCCAATTAGGACAAGAAGGATTTTGATCACAATCTTCAAAACACACATCTTTATCCAGTTATGAATTATGGATCCAAAAAGCAATAGCAGACTGAAACCATTACTATGTGCAGACACACCATGCTTTATGCTTCACAAATTCAGGACCAGCCTAAAAAGTTCCAGATATAAACAACTCACCCGTATTTTACCATAAAGCTATCCATGTTTGATGTCCTCCATCTTTTCTCTGTGCATACAGAAGGTCTTAGGATGGTGCACAGAAACATTAGGAGTTGGTACTTTTCAGAATTTTGAAGACTGAAATACACACATTTGTCTCACAGGCTAGATGAGACTCTCCCTCCAACTGTGTCAATTGTTGCGCAGCCGCATAGTCTAGAGCCATGTACTCAACTGGTGGGCCGTGACCCCATGTTCAGTGGATCGCCACATGCCTTCCAGTGCACTAGGCGAGAGGCTCCTCAGCCTCCCCCCATAGCGCAGCACTGTCAGTTGCCATGCCGAGTAACTTACAGCGCCCTTGCGTGACGTCACATTCTGGCTCCCGGCACCTCTACAGGGAGAGCAAGGAAGCTGTACAAGTAATGCACACATGGATGGAGCTCCGTCACACCTAACCCACCTCCTGCCCACAGTTTGATCACTTGCACTGGAACATGCAGTACCTCAATGCCGTGTGTTCCAGTGTGGTGCGACTTGGGTCACGACTTAATGACCAAGGACAAAATGTGGGTCCTGAGGTTACACAGGTTGAGTACCACTGGTCTAGAGGGTCCAGTTAAAATTCTGCTTAATTGTCCTGTAGATGCATGGACTGGTGTCTAAAAATGACCCCTCGCTGTGAAGGGGCACACACATTAACAGGGTTATTCACTAAAGGGTGAAGAGTTGGAGAGGGAAGGAGAAGTGAACAATCTAGGCCAAAATAGCTGATTTGGAAACATCCTCCAATTCAGCTGTGTTGTCCAAGATTGTTCACTTCTCCAAACTCTTCACCCTTTTGTGAATAGCCCTGTAAGCATTTGGACCTTCCTTCCACACTACGGCTACAATGCTATGCCTTTTCCAAATTAACTCTGAACAACATAAAAGTAAAAGGTCTTCATCCAGTCACTGTGTCCAGAGTTGTCCCTTTCATTGCTCCCCAACCTTCGAACTAAGGGATCTCTTCTGGTCTATAGGTCTCGTCTGTTTTATTCTGGATAGACCATTTATTTCCAGCCAGCCTCACTGGGAACCTATGGCCTGGGAGGCAACAACAACCAACTGGCTCTTTGATGGTAGGAGCGGCTTCCTGTATATACCATGCAAAGAGAGCACAATGATTGGTGTCCATCATGTAAGGTAGGCATCATCTTTCTCTACATGATTTAAGGCAACACCTTTTCATCATAGTACATGCGGGTGTTGGCACCTTGTTTTGAATCAGGCAGTAGGATTTAACAGTCCCACAGTCTTCAGTTTGAGCAAGTTAATTTGAGTGGCTTATCGCTGTATCTACAGAAGAGATGTGGGCAAGATTCTGTAACACCATTTCCTAGAATCCTTGCAAAGAATATAAGTTGGACAGGTTTGACACCTATCTCTGGGGAACAATTATCCTCCCTCCCATCTTTTTGGCATTTTGTTTTCTAGTAAGTACCTTTATTAAGCTCTTTCATACCATATCTCTTGCCGGGGCAGCTTGTAAAAGAAGTCACAACCTATTAATCCAGCCCTGCATATATTCAACAATCAGGTCCCACCGTCGCCTGCAGTATACAGTAATTGCGCACTCACGCTAGTGTAAATCCCCTTTATTGAATCAATTTACAAGCCATCCTGTCTGCACGTTAAAACAAACATTTGGACACATACGTAGCGTAAATTCAGCTAAGTGTATGATGGGAACACAACAAATATGTAGCAGGACATTCTGGCTTGGCCCCCTAAGGAAATTTAATCACAATAGATAAAATGCTGCTTCTTCATCTCTTTTCCAGTCCCATCCCAGACTCCATATAAAGTGCTGCTATCAGGGCATCAGTCCTCTGACCCATCCCTTCCCTACAGTCCAACTCTGCTATCTACTATCTGGGGTTCAGGTCTTCTCTACCGATGAGTTGTACATGCCTAGCTCCATTTGCACCATTATGGAACCATTATGACATTTACAAGATTAAAAAAAAAAAAAAACTGGAGTACATTTGTGTGTCCCTTCCTGTGTGGAGACCATCACCACCAGCCTCTCAGTTGAGGGTCAATCGGAATCGCACCTTTAACATTTAGAGATTTCAGGGACCCAGGAGGTACAGTCTTTCCACAGTTTATCAGAAATGCTGACCCAAAAACACATTTCCGGTAAATCTTTAAAACTTTCTAAAGAGAGTTCAAATTTATCTTCATTTAGGCGAGCGCAGAGCATGGTCAACCCTTCTGAGAAAGCTGGTGAGAGCAGAGGCTTCACTGCCTCCTCGTGGGGAGATGTCTGCTCCTTGCATCGTTAGAGGTTCCAAACTTTTCAAACTTCCTCTCCTTTGAAACAGTCCTCCTAAGCGGAATGAATTTGGGGAGCCTGATGTAGGAGAAGAATCCTTCTGTAAAGGGGTGTCACTAGTTGAAGACCTCAGAACTTGGCTGAAGGAAATGCTGGTGGTTGGGGTACTTGGAGTAGAGACAGAAAGAGTCTCCGACTCCGCACCATGGGGTAAGGACTCCTGAGAATGTTCACTGGGAGAACCAACCACTGAATGCACATCTATCTCACTCCTATATGGAAGGCATCCCAGTGTGTGCCTTCTGTTAATTTTCCCAGGAGTCTCCTGGTATCCGTCACTCCCTGTGCTGTCCTCCCGTGGCCTCCTTAGCCCTTGGTTTTGTCTCTCAGGTGTCGGAGACTCCTCTTCTCTAATTGGTTCTGCAGCTTTGGCTTCAGTGGAAGCTGAGGATTTAGTTGGCGAGGAGTTAAGAACCTCAGTGGAGTGGCTACGAGGAAGAGGACGTGGTCCTCTAGTAGAACGTACTCTGCGGGGAAGCCGAAGTAGCAAAAACTCTAACTCCACATCCTGAAGATCTTTATCTTGGAAGGAACAGCTGGCAATAGAGCGCCGTTTCTCCAGACGTTCTTTACGATGTTCCGCTTTCTCCCTGTCCTTGTTGTCCTGTGTAAAGAGATGGTTGGATCATTTTAGTAAAATATGCTGTGAATCTTCTTTCCAAATGTAAAAATGGCAGAAATAATAAAAGAAGATTAATGTTGTGGATCAAACTACGGACAAATTAAAAAGTCCCCTCTTATAATATTGGATATAGAAAAAGTAGGATATGTTCATAATTCACCAGAGGAGTTCCAGTGGTATGGACAAATGTGGTGTTGAATTTGAGGGAGGGCAACAGAAGCTGAATAGGAATCTTAAGCTGGCTGTACACCACTAGTAAAAAAAATTTGAGGGAGCAGGATGGAAAATATTTCAAACAAGATTGTAACAGTGAATGTGGCTTTCCTTCAAGAAACTATTTAGTTACCAAAATCATAATGTTAAAACCAAACAAAATTTAAAATTTGTCAAATTCTTATATGTACCCTGCCCATAGCAGTCATGTTTGTATATTGGCTGCAATTAGTACTAATGCACTGGTAGTGGAAATACTTCCCACCCCATATAACCTATGGCCACTGCCGAGGCAAGAACTTTCCTCACACCCGGCTGGGTACCACCCCCCATAAGTTGTTTGATTAAAGAGTCTGTTTCCCACACTGCAATTCCATGCAATGTAGGCTTCCTTTATACAAAAGCTGCCATCAGCATTCGTATATAAAAGTGACAGTATAAGCAAAGCAGCAGGCTTGTCCTAACCCAACTGACCCCCATACATTCAGCACACACAGCCCTCCTATCCCTCCCCATTTCTAGGATCTCAGTCCTGGCCACTTTGTGATGGAGCAGCTACTTATCTTACCCTCACCACAGATGTTCCTCTCACCTAGTGTGCCCACCCGGCCAACTTGAGGGGGCACAGGATAGTGTTCGCAGCCATTCCTTACCATGTCCATATACTCCTATGTGATGCCCAGGAGATCTCCCTGCAAGATGCCAATTTGGAGAACCTGTACAGCATGCTCTACTTCTTCCTCCAGATGACTTGGGAGGGGGGTGAGGAGGAGTGGAAAAAAAAGTGTAACGGTGAGAGACATGTGACCTATTTTGGGCTTAGAGCATCAGGTTTTCTGTATATGTAGGCTCCCAAGATATAAAAATCGCATCCTGGATGGAGATTTTGTGCGCAGAATTTTGAGCACACAAGTAAGCAACAAAGTCTAGAGCTACATAGAAAAAGTGCAAATGGACGATAACTACCCACAAACAGAGTTGATTGTGGAGCTCTTTTGCTGTTGCAAATCTTATTTATGGAACCACAAAAGAAAAAAGAAATTCATTTTGGAGGTTGGTACAGTTTGTCCGGTGGTGAAGAGTGGCAGGTACCAGTCATGATCCACTATATGGTCAAATGTTTGTGCACTCCTGACCATCAATGTGTGTCTGTGGGAATTTATGCCCATTCAGTCATTTGTGAGGTCGGGGATTGATGTTGGATAAGACCTGGCTCACATTCCAGACTCCAATACATTCTAAAAGGTGTTCAGTAGGGTTGAGGTCAGGGTTCTGTGCAGGCCACTTAAGTTCCCCCACACCAAACTGGTCACACCATTGAGGGCCTTCCCCACAAGGTTGTAAAAGCACAGTTGACTCCGCATGATGTAGTACTAAGAGCAACCTTCACTGGAAACCTCTGAACTCCATCATTCAGAGAACTGGCCACACACTTAGTCGTATAGTACAGCGGAAAGGAACAGACATTAGTGGACAGATCTCCACCTACTGGCTGTACAAAACTATTTGGATACAATATTTCACATATAACCAGTGAAAAGAGAAATATTAACATTTTATTTTGGTAGTTGGGAACATAATGCAATGTATAAAAGACTAAAGATTCTCAATAGATGCCTCACTTACCTGAGCGGCAGCTGCGAACTTGGCACAGAAAGTGCTGAAGATGAGGCAGAGGTCTTCAAGTCTGAACGTTGATTCATCTTCACAGAAGAAATCCATCAGGGCACGCCTGGAATCCCGCAGACTCTGCAGAGAGCAGAACACCTCGCGCAGCTCTACCTCTGCCACCTACCACAGAGAACAGAGTCAATGACTGATCTATATATACGCACAGCTCCACCTCTGCCACCTACCACAGAGAACAGAGTCAATGACTGATCTATATATACGCACAGCTCCACCTCTGCCACCTACCACAGAGAACAGAGTCAATGACTGATCTATATATACGCACAGCTCCACCTCTGCCACCTACCACCGAGAACAGAGTCAATTACTGATCTATATATACACACAGCTCCACCTCTGCCACCTACCAGAGAACCGAGCCAATGACTGATCTATATATACGCACAGCTCCATCTCTGCCACCTATAGATCTATAGATATAGCTCCTCCACAAAGAGGCACCCCCTTATCTCTGTTGGAAAGAAAGTCCCCTGCAAATGTGGAATTGTTGGCAATAGGGGCAACCAATAGAGTTATTTGGTTTGTGGTTTTCCTTCAGAATAAAAGAAAACTTGAGTGGACATTATGGGCAGCTAATTTTCTTTCCACAATGTTCAAAAACATATTCCTAACTGAGGACAGTTCAGAAGTATCAGGCCCCATTCACACTGAGCGATTTATCGAGCGATTTTTGCAGCGATATCGCTCTATGTAGCTCCTCCAATCCATTTCAATGGAGCTGTTCACATCTCGCCGCTCAATATCGCTTGTAGCTCGTCGCTGTAGCTTGTCGCTCCTACATGACCCTTTTTCTGCGGATTTCGAGCGATTTTGCTCCTGATTGCATACAGCCCAATAGGAAAAAGTTGCGCAATATCGCACATATAAAATCGTGCGATTTTCATGCCGCTCAGTGTGAATGGGGCTTTAGGTGGTCTTTGTCAGATATACAGTCTCTAATACAAGAGGTATTAGTGCCCGGGCAGATTTTCAGAATTTTGTAAGTAACAGCCCTTCACAATGCACTATGCTGGATCTCCGCTCACCTGCAGGAAGGGCGTCATCTCATGCTTCAGGTCCGGCTGGTCCCGGAGGGCTTCCCTGGTGCTGCGAAGCCGCTGACTGAGGGTCTCCAGGTCACTCTCCACATCCAGGGATGTAATACTAAAGACAGCAAGAGGCCATTAGAGAAATGGGGGGTAAATCGGTATTAACAAATCAGGCAATATAAAAGCCAGTAGGAATGAGAGGCATTAAACAATATGCTAGATAGGACAGCCTAGAGATAACATTAAGGACTATTCCCCCCTCCCCCCCAACCACCACCACCACCTCTTGATGGCATTGAGTGTGACCATCTACAGAACCAAGATAAAAATAAAAGGCTGATGTATGGAATCACTTACCGAGACGCCTGGGTTAGGTGAGTCAGTTTTTCTGGAAAACATAGAAGTGTCCGATTATTCTTCTCAGCTTCCTGTGCAGAAGAAAAAAAAAAGTCAAAGCATTTCTTGCCAATCTACTACTGAATGTGGCCCCTTCCACAGCGCCAACCACCAAGCACAGTCCCTGCCAACAGTCTACAACCAGAGGAGGAAGCATGGCTCCACCAACCAATCACGGCCCCAATGAGCAATCTCCTAGAGGTGGAATAAACCATGGCTCCACCTAGTAATCTTCTGCCAATGACCCAATGGTTACACCCCCGCCCACCATTCTGTGAATTGGGAAGAAATGTCTGTCCACTTACCTGGACTACAAAGTGCATAAGGTTCATTCCAGGTTTATTTGCTTTAGTGTCTGCCAGTTTCAGAAGAGACCCCATCCGAAAACCCATGGCACTGCCAGCATAACCACCCTGAAGATAAAGAACAAATATGGAACAACCTGCCAGAAAGGGTGAAAAAAACAAAGAGGGAGGATGCCAGGCCTGAAGAGGAGGTACCAGGAGGTCGCATGGAAAGGGATGGGGGGGGCTGTTAAGAAGGACAGTACCCTACAGACCACCTACAGGTATAAGCTTAGCAAAAAGGGGTGACTATTGAGTATGATGCTTCTCCTTCATTATCTAAATCAGCAGATGGGGCGAGGACACTGCTGCAGTCCAACTCAAGAGAAAGTGAGGTCACCCTCCCAGCTGTGCTGCCTGGCACAATGACTGTTCTCCCTCCCGTGACCACCCTTCTCCCTCAGCTAATTGCTGCCTTCACCCCCAACATAGTGGCTGCCCTCTTCCCATTCCCTCTTCCTTAGTGACTGCTTCCCTGGTGACTTCCCTCCTTACCCCCCCCCCCCCCCCCCCCCATCTGACGTCCAATGTTGGAGAGGAGTAGATGGGGAAAAAAAAAACTCACAGCATTCATGTAGTTCCCGGCTTTCAGCACCAGATGGATGATAGTGTGAAGCTCCTCACATTGTAGAAGCTCTGAAATGACAACATACCATTAGAGGAAGCTGAGGATGGGGTAAAGACCAATACAGTGATGACAACCTAGAGCATAAGCCCACTGGGGTGTATGGAGGAGGGCCTGCCAATGTCTGTGCTGGAGTGTCCCCACCCCACCCATTTAATCCATAGAAGCTATCTTATTGCATACTATGGTCACCTCTGTGACCACAAATCATCGGGATCATCATCCGCTCACCTGTCGCTGCCGCAGTCTGAATTTCTACTGACTGTTTCAGAGAGTTGAGCTGCGGGAAGAATTCTTCCTTCAGTATCATGACTTCCAGGCGCTGCGGATAGCTGCAATGGAAGGAACACAAAACAGTAATGGTAGCGTTACCACCATCGGGCCTAAAGTCTATAATATATGTCACAGATCACATTCATTCAACACAGAGATCAGCAAGGTCCCAATACAGAAACTAGGATTTCTGGAATAAACTAAAACATGAATATGGGTACATTATCGGTATGTGGACAACCACCCAAATTATGGTGTACAGGCATTTCCAGGAAAAGGGTGTGGTTGATGCTACACTATACAAAGATATTTTAGGCAACTGTGATCGTTTAACCTTGTGGTTGAAACTCCATATTAATGTCCATGTTTTTGGAATAAGAAGTCCAACAAGTTAATTTAGGCGTGATGGCCAGGTGTTCAAACATTTGACCATACACAGTCTCATATTTCAGCCCCGGGGTAGTTTCCCCAGTCATTTGACCATACAAAGTCTCATGTTTCACCCCTGGGGTAGTTTCCCCAGACATTTGACCATACAGTCTCATGTTTCAGCCCGGGAGGTAGTTTCCCCAAACATTTGACAATACAAAGTCTCAGGTTTCAGCCCTGGGGTAGCTTCCCAAGACAGGAACCAGTCCAATTGGTGTTGGAAAAGGTCATTTTCACATGAATCCTACAAAATCCTGAAATGGTGTCACAGACAAAGAGTATTTCCATGTCTGGTGTGCAATCTGAACCTGTGGAAGAAACAGCTTGCCGTGTGGACTACACCACTGTGGTGGAGTTTTTGCCAGTGAATTAGAGAAGTTGATCAAGACTGCCGTGAAAGCACCACCTGAGATCATGAACTGGTCACATTAGCTGCATATACATGGGTTGAGATGTAGGAGACCACCCAGTGCCCATAACGCTTTGGAGCCTCATCTCTGCCTTAGCTACTCAACACTACCCCAGAAAGCAGCCCATTGGAAGGAGCAATCTTAGTCACTGGGGCTGCAGCCTCAGGCGTGGTCTGGAGTTTGTAGGCCACATAGTAACTTGCTGCTCTTCAAACCAAAGCAAACCCTTCACTGAGCTTCTATATGTACTCGGCTATGTCATTAAATGCCGTTTTCATTAACATGCTTTATGGCCACCTGTGCATTCTGAGCTTGTAGTGAAGACCATGCCTTACAGATAGCTAGGAAAGTCCTCAGTGTACGGAATACAACTTTGCTCTGCTTACAGCCCACAACCAGGTACTGGCAGCCAAAGCAAAACAGTGAACGTACTCGTCATGCCTGGAACACAAAGGATCCTTTATTCTAGAAAACAGTTGCAAGATGCTGTGGTCATAGACACCCAAAGTCATGTGACATCATTGAGAAAAGGAGCACATGTCTATAGATGATCATGGACCTTTTGTTTTCTACATCTGAAGGCGTTCTCGAGTTGCTGCAGTTGCTTTACCTGGGAATTTCCACCAGCATCACCATGAACAGCTCAGGATCAGACAAGCGACTTTGGTCTCCTTTGAAAGCCCGTAGCCTCTTCATCTGGTTGGGATAAAGAAGAGAATGGCTTAGCGGCCTTATATTGAAATAACCAGCAGCCTTCTACACATAGAACAGGCAAAATATTACCTCATCTTTCTCCGGAAGAAGTCTCTGCAGCTCCCCCAATTTCTCAGCCCCAAAGTTTGATCCAACTCCTCTCCTAATATCTTCCACCATGACATGTATCGGCCTGAAGCGAGAGAAAGACTTGGGTAAAAACCAAGTTCTCCGTGGAGAACCAAGACGCAACAAAAAACACAAGCCGGTAAAGGTAATCTGACCTCTTGAACTGTTTCAGGAAGATCCCCAGGTTCATATTTCTCTTGGCGTCTAGTAATGTAATCTGCAAACACAAACACCCTGTTAGTACTGCAGAGAACTCTCCCCATAGAGTGGACAAAGCCGCCATCAATACTACTCAGGTTTGATAAATTGCTCTTTCCTGGAATGTGGAGCGGCCCCTTACATTAGGATTGGAAGTTCTTCACAGCAGATCTAGAAGAAGGACATGTGGGAGGACATTCTCTAATCACAGCTCCTGGTACTGAGCACTAAAGGGAGCACCTTCATCCAGCTAGTGGACTGGATACATCTACCTTTCTTGGCCATCATCTGGTAAAAGCCAGAATCTGAAGCCGGGGGGGGACCAAGCCAGGAGAAAAACGGGTCAGCACATAATTGGACTGTCCTGAATAATTATATCCATGTCCACAAAACATCACTCTAGACCCTTGGTTCTCAACTGGTGGGTCGTGACCCAAAAGTGGGTCGCAACCCCGTGTTCAGTGGGTCGCCGCATGCCTTCCACTTTTCTAGGTGAGAGGCTCCTCTGCCTCCCCCTAGCACAGCACTGTCAGTTCTCACGCCAAGCAGCCATTCAATATATGCTGCCCGGTGCTGAATGTCAGCTTTAGGTGGAGTAGGCTGGGGCTATGGCTGTGAGTGAGCTCCAGCCATACATGCATTGCTTACAGCTCCCTCACGTGTCCTGTAGAGGTGCCTGGACTAGAGTGACGTCACATTCTGGCTTCGGCCACGTCTACAGGGTGCGCAAGGGAGCTGTACAAGCCATGCACATATGGCTGGAGCTCCGTCACAGCACAGCAGCCCACACTGGACCCAGGCTGGGGATCCACTCCATTTCTCGTAAGGTAGGGAGACTGGGTGGACCACTTTTTTTGTAGTGTGTATGTGTGTGAGATTGTGTCTGTATGTCAGTGTTTTTGAGGGCCGTTCACACTAGTACAGTGCGTTAAACTGTACCACGCAATCGCACCTACCGTGCATTCTGGTGTATGAGGTGTGTTGCCATTCATTTGAATGGCACCCCAAATGCACCTCCTACCCAGAGTTTGTACGCCTGCACCGGAACGCGCGGTACCCTAATGCAGTGCGTTCCATTGTAGTGCGACTTGGGCCGTGACCTAACGGCCAAGGACAAATGTGGGTCCTGAGGTTACACAGGTTGAGAACCTCTGCTCTAGACAATGAGGATTCCTAAACTGCATAATCTTCCACGCATTTGACAAATTCTAACACGTGTGACCCTCCATGTTGTGCTCAGCTCTTCTCCTCGTTCCCACCTTCAGCCAGTCCCCAAAGTAGAAATAAGGACTCGGGCAGCACTATAACCTTCTCCTAGGAGGAAAGAAGGTGCATTAGCAACATTGGCTGAATACTGGCTTCTCCTTGCCTGGGAGGAGGAGGATGGCTCCAGCTTTGAGAGTCAGTCAATTCCCTCATCTATGAGCTGTGACTGCACTGGTCCACCACCTTGGTCAAAGGAACATAGACGCGCCTGGGCGGCCCTACTACAGACGTGGCCCTACTACAGACGCGCCTGGGCGGCCCTACTGTAGGACGCGCCTGGGCGGCCCTACTGTAGGACGCCCCTGGGCGGCCCTACTGTAGGACGCCCCTGGGCGGCCCTACTGTAGGACGCGCCTGGGCGGCCCTACTGTAGGACGCGCCTGGGCGGCCCTACTGTAGGACGCGCCTGGGCGGCCCTACTGTAGACGCGCCTGGGCCGTGTGCGGAACTACTGTAGACGCGCCTTTGTGCGGCACTACTATAGACGCGCCTGTGTGCGGCCCCACTATAGATGTGGCTGTGCCGTGTGGGGCCCTCCATATCCAGCACCACTTCCTCTAGGTCTCCCGGCCATTTTTGGAGGTTTATGCTCAACTTATACTATGGGGATTTGGAGAAGGGGGAGGGGGTACCATAAATGGGGGGGTTCCCATCAACACAATACAAAATTAGGAAAAGTCAGCAGCAAAAAGGGAATGCTGCCCTCCAATGAAGCACAAACAAAAGCCCCCAATAAGAACATAAAAAGGACAGTAAAATAGGGTGATTGCCCAAGAGCTAGCAATCAAACTTGTTGGTGAAGACCTGTGATGGGGAAGGGGGGGTGGCGGGGGGGTAGGGGACATTGTACCCCACCACAGCAATTCACATCCTCATCTCTTCCTATGTAAATCAGTGATCGCCCCAAACTCTGCCCTACGTGGCTACTACATCACGATCCTTAGTGAGGGGGTTATACCCCCTCTTCCCCCAATCAAACCCCATTATTGGCCGTTTAAAGCCTGCTGGCCACTGTTACCGGGTGCACCGGGCATTATGGGTTGGTGCAAATTTGAAATCCGGTGAATCTTCTTCTCGTCCCCACCCAATTTTGGAACTCTTCCTGAACATTTGTGTCTAGTTTTGGATGGAGGAGGATTGGAGCCTCCGTGGAATTTGTATTGCCGGCTCGGTTCACACTGGGACCATCCACCGCCCCCTGTACAGTGAATGAGTCCGTCCCACATTAGTCCCATCCTGGTATGTAAGAACGGGACTGACCAAGTCTTATGCATAGGACTGAGATGGAAAGGCCAGGGACTTCTTTTCTCTGGAGCAAACCTACTTCTACGAGTCTCCTCTTATTATCAGCCTGCGTCATCCAACCTACTTTTGTGAGCCCAGGCTGTCATGGACATGCCCCCTGGAGGGGCGGTTCATCTTTAAAGTGAACTGAATTCCGGCCCTCCCTTCACTCTTGCACAGTTGTTCCGGCTCCTCTGATTTCACTGCACACTGGGAGCTTCTCACAATGTGTATTAGAAGCTTCAGCAAGTCAGATAGAGCCCGCCTCATTTCCTGGCTGGAGGACAGCCAGCATCATCTAGGCCTTACCTTTCCAGTCTGACTGTCCCTGACCCCGCCCCTTTCATTGGATTTCAGTTCTTTCAGCGTTACCTGGGCTGGTCTGCATGCAAATACAGTCCGTCTAGGAACGCCCACTCCTCCAAAACCCACATTGACCCATCAAGGCATATATTTGCATAACTCCTCCCAAGAGCCAGCCCACTGCTTGCATCAGAGCTGAGGGCCCTTGAAAAGAGTACCGAGGCAGGAATCTATGTACAGCCCCCTGCTGGCCCCTCCCACCACATGTCTCAGTTCATATAAAAGAGAACATTGTAACAATATTGATCACAACTCTGAACATTTCATTTCCTGCGTTCTGCCGTCTCACCTCTGGTTCAGCCTCCCCGTGGACCGGCCGTGCTTTGAAGCTCCGCTGGCCCCTCAGTTTGCGCGGCTCCTCCCTCTGCCCAAACAGCTCCTCCATGTGCGCGACGTCAATCTGCAGACTCGTCCCCTGAGGGCCGCAGGTCCAGAGGTTGCGCCCTCCCATCACTCGATCGGCGGGCAGAGCTTCCCAGTTGAAGTTCCGCAGTTTCGGCCGGCGTTGGTCCCCGAATCGTAGCGGCGGGGTGGCGGAAACTGAGGCGTTACTGATGGCCACCGGAATTAGGGAGCCCCGCAGGGGCGGCGGGGGAGGTGGGGGTAAGAATTTTACCAAAGGGGGTGGCGGAGGGGGAAGGGAGGCTTCGGAGGATGTTGCTGGAGGCGGTGGTGGTGGGGGAGGACATGGAGGTACTGGCAGGGATGGAGCGTTCCTGGAGGTCACCATGCTTGCAGGAGCCGTTGCATCCATCTGCCCCAAGGCAAACAAGAGAAGGGTAATGCGGGGGCAATTTCCGGAAACACGGGGGCAATCAGGAGATTCTCATGGCAGCCGGAGATCAACCTGAGT